CCAAGGAAATAGGTAGAGCAATTTAGCAACAAACTCAATCCTTTTTTTTTTTCACGTGTACATGCCCACAAGAAGGAACTAAAAACCAAACCTAAAAGGAAAATATCTGATATAAAAAGGTCAATCAAGAATGTATGATATTCATGTCTATTATGGTCTTGGGTCCATCTCCAATCTATCCCACCATGAAGCAACTAGATGTTTAATAGGGAATTTATACAAAAGACAAAGAAGCCACTGTTGCCCAATGAGCCTATTCTACTTGCCATCTAAGCCAGTCTCTTTAAAAACAACCTCCACAGTGCTTGTCAATCCAGCTTCCCCTTGTTCCTAAGTTATAGGCTGCCATACCCTGCAAGAGCCTCTCTGCATTGGTTGAACTCCAGTGTACTTTGGAACTAAAGAGTGAAATAAAAGATTATTTCAATAAATATTATATTCCCATTCTTTTTTTTTTATTCCCTACTTTGATCTCCGTATATGAATGACAAAGCAGACTGCTCTTTAAAAGATGGACATTGTCTTTGCATCAGATTCTTTGGCAAACATCCTCTTCTAACCCTGCAGGTGACTTCTAAGAGAAAAACAGTAACTTTGCGGTCCCTGCTGAATTTATCACTCCAAAAACATGACAAGCTGGCTCATCTCCAAGAAGGAATAACAGATCTCAGTTTGTCAGGTGTGAACATGTCTGACCTTGGGAAATGTTTGGGGGGGATATCAAGGGAGATAATGAATAAATTTCTCTCTTACTGAAGACACTGTACATGTATTGTACAGATATTCCAAACAGCCTTCTTTGGCAGTCCAGAAAGTAAAGCTTATAAGGTGTGAATTTATTTATTTATGCTGGTTTTGCACCTACACCTACCCCAGGGAGGAGGGGACCCAACTAGCAGCTTTCTCCCAGATAATACTGTAGAAATTGTTATGATCAAGACGAGGTGTCAGCCAGAGCTAATGGAATGACCCATTAGTGAGACCCTCAGACAAAGAAGTAGACAGAGGAAAGACAAATCTCTGTTATGGCATGGCCCTGGTAGTTCTCTCCATTCTCCCTTCTGGTGTTTTGGCAGAGCTGGCTCACCAAGACTGTTGAATGGAAAAACAGCTCTCACTGACGCTGGCTACATTAACATACAAAATGCCTACTTCTCCAGTAGTTTTCTTTTTCTAACAAGGCCATTGCCCAAGCAGGAATCTCTCACTGTTACGTGGTTAACTAGGTGCTCTCTAGTCCCTCCTAATTCCTCTATAATTTTGTAGGGTTATGTGACGAGCAAGTCCCCCTCAGGTGCACTTTCCATGGTGAATTCGATGCACTTCCCTGCAAAATAACAGCAGCTCAGGAGTTATTACACCCTTCACTGTTTCTTAGTTTGTAAGGTTTCCTCTATAAAATCTAACTAATGTCTATAACTTGGGCCACAAGTAATATGTTTCTTGCACAACCATTAATTGAGGAAATTATAAAGTCTCCTTTAGGGATTTTAAAAAGGTAAATCTCCATTTGTAGTTTATTTTGTAAAAACTGGAAAGAGGCAAAAAATTTTTAATAGTTTTTTTATTTCATAACTAAATAATCCCTTTTCTTGATACAGAATATCTTTCTTGACCACCAATCTATATTAGCCTTCCCCGTGACTCCCTATCAGAAAGGTAGTCATATTCTCTTCATTTATTACTCTCTAAAATTATCTTGTTCATGTATTCTCACTTGTTTTTCTGCCTGTTTTCCCCACTATAATGTAAACATCACAAGAGAAGAAAGCTTATTTGTGTTATTTATCAGTAAATCCCAATGTTCAAAAGAGTACCTGACATATGAAGCTGAGAATATTTGCTGAATGATTGAGTTTAGGGAATAAATGAATGAATAAATTTAATAGCTAATCATGTAATCTATGCGGGAAATGGATACATATTGATACACTTCCTCTTTTGTATATGTTTTTGTGCTTAGTGTTGTGGGGGGAGAATTGTAGAAAAAAAAGATTTATAAAGAAGTAGGTTGGATGCATAACTCTTAAAACACCAAGAAACAGGTTACATTTTCATATCTAAAAAGTGTAAATTTCAATGCTATAAAACATTAAGAAAAGCTAATACCACGTTTGATGTGAAACACTAAATTATTAACATCTATTGTGTCTGATTAAATGTTTGCCACTAACTCATTCCCTAACCAAAACAAATCGCTAAATGTTGTAAAGCACAAAAAAAAAATGTACTTTATTGTAATCAATACCATCTGTCTGTTCAGGTGGGATCTCCTTACTTCGCTCCCATCCACTCTCTGAAGGTTTGGGAGACTTTTCCAAAGTATTTCAGAAATTCTATTAGGATCTAAGAAGTAACCCAAAATGAAGTTTGATGAATAATATTGTGCCATGTGCTTAATAGTTTGATTTTTTATTATATTTAGCAATATTCAACCTACAGCTATTAAGGGAAATTCTATAAAATCTATCAAGCTAAAACAACCTGATTCATGTCATATCTCCCTTTTATCCTCAGTTTAAACTAAAAAAAAAAAAATTACTGGTCTTTTCCTGGCACACTGTATAGATTCTAAACACCGTTGTTTTCATTTCAACTGTTCAGTCCACCTGTAACACTTGTTCCTCATATTTCCCTGTTAAAATCCAACCCACCTATCTTTCTTAAATTAAATGCTGTTACACTTAGTCCAGCCAGGAACAACTTTTCCTTCTTTTTGATGCAACTTCTTGGTAACCTTTTATAGAATGCATCTTCTGCATTTATACTGCACTTATTTTTGCACATGTTTTGTCTGCCTTACTAGAATATTTAATGTATTGAGGGCAAGGATAATACAGCTGTCATCTTTATACTCCTCATAATATCTGGCACAGTGCCTTGCCCAGCACAGACATTCAGTTTATATTTTCCTATTTGAACTAAACTGAATTGAAATAATCTTCCACCTGAAGTTAGGAAATATTATATGAATTAACACTAATGGGGTGAAAAGCCATTTAAGAAGAATTTTTTTTATATTCATTCTATTATCTTTTTCTGTTCTCGGTGTCCTATATTCCCTATCATCCTTAGTCCATTATTCCCCATCCAATCCTTCTTCCATTCTTCCACTTCCCAATCTTATTCATTAACTATGACTTATCAGCCTAGTAGAATGGGGGCTGGCAGGAGTAGTAACTCGTGGTAACACTATCATAACCCATCTATGAGATTTTTCCAAAAACTCATAGAAAGTAACTGAGACTACCTTACTCTATCTTCATAGAGGCTAGTAATTCTCTTTAAAATACTTTCGTTTAAGCCAATACTTCTACTTCCTGAGATTCAACAAATATAGTGTATCAACTTCAGCAGCAGCAACTAAATGTCCAATATTAAAACAACTTCTATGAAAAGTTATTACTTCATGTTAACAGTGACAGATTATTAGCTTTCCAGCATTTTCAAAGCCTATTACACTTCATGATGTTTCCACAGAAAAACTATAGTGGTATCCCATGATCTACCATAATCCTAACATGAATATAAGAGTATCATGCTTTATTTGTTTCTATTTCTATAGTTTATAACCCAGTTAATTTCCAATTAAAGTTGAAGATATTTACTAATACTTTTTATTACTTTTATTACTTAACTACTTATTACTTAATACTTTTCTCAAATATTCATAATACTGACCAGATATAATTATAATGTGAAGTGATAAATGACAAGCACTCTACCCATAATAAGTTTGCAAAGCAACAAATGTCTGTCTTCTTTTGAGATATTAAAAACATACTTTTAAAAATACAATCACTACAGATATTAAAATGGACCTTTTCAAAACTTCTAGCCCTTAATCACAACATTTATTACTTAATTCTTACTAATTCATCTGGGTCTGTAATCCAGAAATATTAAAAATAGTAATGAAGCAGAGAAATGCACATTTCTAGATAATTCTTTCCTCTTCTCTGCGTGGCAATCAAAGCTAAAAATTTTATATATTAAGCTATGTATAATTAAAGAATAAGTGCCTCATGTATATTGAATTCGAATTCTCAATAATTCAAGTGAATGACTGAAAGGAAACACTGCCGTAGTTTATTCTCATTGAAGATCAACCTAACTCTTATTGACAGAACTTACTGTTCCACTAATCTATCTGGTTCAGGCTTTCTGTTTCTTGACTGGTTTGTGAAAATGTCTGTGAATCCTAACAGCTTAATCAAACAGACTCACTTACTTATTAACCTGTAAGATTTAATTGGATAAATCAACAAACTTAATTATTTTATGTGCATGCATATGCATATATATAAAGTGATTAAGCAAAAATGAAATGCAAAAAAAAATTTAAGTTAGTTGTTTTATGTATTGAGGTCATGACTTCATGACGTAAGATATCCCACTCATAAGTATTTTCCTGAAAATAAATAAAAATTGTTTTCACACAAAAATCATTTTAAAAAAAGGGTCGTCATATTTGGGGCTGCCTGAGTGGCTCAGTCAGTTAAGCATCTGCCTTGGGCTCAGGTCATGATCTCAGGGTCCTTCGATTAAATCCTCCAATCCCCAATCTGGCTCCCTGCTCAGCAGGGAGTCTGCTTCTCCCTCTTCCTTTTTTCCTCCCCCCCACTAGTGTTCTCTCTCAAATAAATAAATAAAATCTTTAACAAGAAATGGATCATGTTCAGTTGCTCACTATCTGAAAATTTAATTGTTGCTCAGGATGGGGGGATGCTGGATTTTGGAAAGTGGCTTTGTACCATACCTAGTCCTTAGTTAAATTTTTCACTTAAAATTTTCTATTTTCACAGCATCCAAGTCTGTCGATCTTTGACAACATCTACAGTTTTAAACATTTTCTATTTAAAATTAGTTTTGAAGAGTACAATATTCAAGCAAAAATACAAATCAAGGAATCTTATGATACTGAATTTAGAATGGCTATTTTGCCATTTAGGTATATAAACTGATAAAGATTAGAAAAATAATATTTTTTAATGTTTTACCTTTTGTCAAGTGGGCTTCCATTTGGGACATTTGAGATCTGTGATAAAAAATACTAAATTTAAATACACTAAGCATGTACAACAAATGTTTTTACTAAATTATCTAGAAAAATATTCAAAACAGGCTTTTAAATATGATAATTTTATAAGATTAAGGTATCAAAAAAGCTAAGAAATGATCATACCTGGCACTGGAGGAAACACTGTAGAATATGAACTACTACCAAAATTATATTTCTTAATGAGTGCAAAGAGGGCTTTATGTTGATAGTAAATAAACATTATTTTAAACATATGTACTACATAATTATTTAATCTTTTCAGTATTCTTTTTGAAGTATTTATAATTCAAATGCCAAGAGTATATACTAAACTAGTGGTACTAACACACAGTATACTTAAATGATAGTATTTTTTTTAATTTAAAAAAATTATAAAATTATATTGAGAATGCATGCTCAAAATATACTTACTGAGGTGTGTGATCAAAAATATAAGAAACCAATGACCTCAAGAGTGTGATTTTATTAATAACTTATCCCTTGGGAAGATAACATGTTTTTCTATAGCATAATGGGGATTCTAGATTTTATATCCCAGGCCTGAATTTTACCTAACTCAGTTTCTTTCATACAGAGATTAGATAGCTTTATCCTTACTCACCTGTGTCAAAGATTTCTGACATTCAACAAACTAATTTTCTTTTCTTAAGGCACATTACTGGTCTATATCTCTAAGCCCCTCCTACAGTTAAATGTGATAAATTAATTATGAGAGAAAGTGGTGTGTACCACACTTCCATCCTGGTCGGTGAAAACTGACTCACATTTGGTTTTCTTCTCTAGTAGCTGGATTTCTATGCCCAATGTGGCCCAGAAAGTCAATGTCAGATGGCAAAAACTCCATATGCCAGGATACCTGAATGACCGTGTAGAGCAGGACTCCCTAACCCAAACACAGACCCTGAACTTCCTGGAAATATTTACATGAGGAAATAATTTTCTATTGTATGTGAGCTGTTACATGTTCTGGGCCTATATGTGACAAGAGTTAGCCTATATGTTAAGTAATATAACACCACGGGTTTTCATATGGGCTATGTAGATAACTAGACATAACTCAAGGAAGATAAAACCTAACATTCACATAGTGCTTCATGATATTCAAAAGCATTTGATAAACATTATCTCATTTTACTCTACCATGTTTATAAAGTATTATCAACCTCCTATAACTAAGGGTTTAACTCCTGACACATAGAAATGATAATAGGTCTTACCCTAACCTCTAATTTAAAAAAAACTCCTATTCCAATAAGCAACTTTAAAAACAGATACAAGGCGGGGGCACCTGGATGGCTCAGTGCTTAAGCCTCTGCCTTCAGCTCAGGTCATGATCTCAGGGTCCTGGGATCGAGTCCCACATCGGGCTCTCTGCTCTGCAGGGAGCCTCCTTCCTCCTCTCTCTCTCTCTCTCTCTCTCTCTCTGCCTGCCTCTCTGCCCGCTTGTGTTCTCTCTCTGTCAAATAAATAAAATCTTAAAAAAAAAAAAAAAAAACAGATACAAGGGGCGCCTGGGTGGCTCAGTGGGTTAAAGCCTCTGCCTTCGGCTCAGGTCATGATCCCAGGGTCCTGGGATTGAACCCCGCATCGGGCTCTCTACTCAGCAGGGAGCCTGCTTCCTCCTCTCTTTCTGCCTGCTTCTCTGCCTGCTTGTGATCTCTGTCTGTCAAATAAATAAATAAAATCTTTAAAAAAATAAATAAATAAATAAAAACAGATACAAAAACAAAGAAGAACTACTTCTCACATATGTCATTAAGATACACATATGACAGACGTTTTGTATAATGTAACCTAATGTCCAGTAGTAGGACTTCTAAATATTTTTCTTTCGCTCTTTTTAAATTTTAAGTTTGGATCACCAGTAGCACAGGGTGATAGCCTGGTTTCCCTATGAAGCCAGGCCCAAGAGCACTGGGAGCATACCACCTCATTAGAGAAAACCCTCTCTTGATATTAGAAATATCACAACTCCACAGCCAAATGAGGCATTGTAATGCCTAAGACAGCTATATCAGAAAAAAAAAGAAATATATTTATAGTTATAATATATAGGTAAGACCTTATGAATTATAGGATCAATACAAAGCAGTTCTTTTCTTTCTGACCACTGAAGACCAAACTGCTTAACTTAGCATTCAATTCAATGGTTTTCACAATCAATCTACTTGAAGGCAGTCTCTAAAATAGCTTCCTGTGATCCCTGTTTCATGGCATTCATGCCTGTTGTATTTCCCTCGGCTGTGTTTGGGCTGGCCCTGGTGACTACTTCCACTTCTAATGAAATGGCAAAAGTGATAGGATATCACTTCTGAGAGTAGATTCTAGCTTCCTCCCTCCCTCCCTGCTGCTTTCCCTCCTTTTCTCCCTGTTTCTGCCCTTGCTTCCATTTTGTAAGTGGCTTTATGGAAAGGCCTCCCTGGCAAGGAACTGATGTCTCCAAGCAATATATCCAGCAAATATCTGAGACCCAACAAGAGTTATATGAGTATATACTGAGCCCAGAAGTATATCCTCCTCCAGTTAGGTGTTGAGACAAATGCAGCCAAGGCCAACATTGACACTGAAAATCTGATTTTATGACTTCAACTACTGCTCAACTCTTGTTTTTCTTTAACAATTATAGTTCTGTGACTCAGATAAGATTAGATTCTTCACCAGACTCCGGAACACCCACTCAGGACCTCAATTTTCGCACATTTTTTAAGCCTTTGTTTTCACTCCTGGCTGATTGATTGAGGATCCACTGGTGAGTTCAACTCCTAAACCACTGTTCCATGCAAATGTCCACCGAAGCTAGTAGGGACAGATTTTTATTCTTAAGATTCTGAGTATACTCCAGAATCTGGTTAGAGTCTCAGATAAATGGAGGCTGGATTAGATTTCCAGGCTTTTCTATTTGTAAGAGGCTAATCTCTAAAGAACATAAGCTATGCTTGAGTCCTAGGTTTTCTGTTTAAGTATAAAGGTACCATTAGTTAAGAACAGGAGAGCTTCTCAATTGACTGAAAACCTTTGAAACCTCTCTCTTCCCATTACTAATGCTTCTCCTTCCTCTTTTTATCACCTTCAATCTCTAGTAAGGTTCTCTTGAATCCTTTGGTATGTCCCTCCTTAACCACTAATCTCCCTCATCCTTCTGCCTACCCTGCCAGACTTTCCCTTTCCCACTTGAGCCCCTCAGTTCCCTATAGTCACTTAAACATTAAACCCCCATACTCCCTATGAAGAGACCTCAAGAGACTCAGAGCCCCAAAAGCAACCATTTCAGACTGAAATGAAAGATGTTATTTGAAAAAAAAAAAAAAAAAAATTTTTTTTTTTTTTTTAATTAGCATTCTGTTCACTTGATGAGACAGATAGCCACTAGACATCTTCTTGGTCACTCACCTAAAACTTAGTCCACACCTCCATGAGATTACATATCAAGGGGCGCCTGGGTGGCTCAGTGGATTAAGCCTCTGCCTTCGACTAATGTCATGATCTCAGGGTCCTGGGTCCCACACTGGGCTCTGTGCTCAGCAGGGAGCCTGCTTCCCCCTCCTCCTCTGCCTCTCTACCTACTTGTGATCTCTCTTTTTCTGTCAAATAAATAAATAAAATCTTTAAAAAGAGAAAAAAAAATCAAAGCAAAAAAAGTCTCCTCCAGAAATACTAACAAACATGTAATCTCAGCTTGTGCTAGATGCCAGAAACACAATTCAAATAAAAATATAAAGTGAGCACTGGGTGTGGTGCAAAAACAATGAATACTGTTACACTGAAAAGAAATAAAAAATTTAAAAAAATACCAAAACAAAATATATATATATAAAGTGGAAAAAAGATGAGAGCTAGCTCTTCTATGTAAACTAGTTGATTTTGTATTATAATGTTTTACTGGTTCAAGGCTAAAATTTTAGAATGAAAGCATTAAGATCTCTTTTTGCATCTGTTTCTATGTTTGCTTATATGTGTGTGTATTATATATGTGTGTTCGATTTTCCTCCAAATGACATCACCAAATTACTTGACAAAATCTCTTAAAGGAGTTCTATCCAAATTGGCTTAGAGAGGAATGAGTGCTATCATAAATTAAATATTTCTAAGACAACTCCCAAAAATACAGAAACTAACACAAATGATTTGATGTGGGTTTTTTTTAGATTCACATAACCTGGAATATAAATTGGTAAATAAAGTTAGTTTTAAAATCATGGCTACAATAAAAGCAGGCACATATTCAGAGATGTCAGCTTTCATACATGCAGACATACAATTTTTTCTGCCTAAGTTCACTCGTCAAACAAGCTTATGTTATAGCTGCTGAATATTTACAATATAAACATAAATTTAACTTAAAAACAAAATGTAGAATAAAAATGGATTGCTTCAAAGTCACAGGATACAAAATTGATGCACAAAAGTCTACTGCATTTCTATACACTAATCATGAAGTGGCAGAAAGAGAAATCAAGGAATCAATCCTGTTTACAATTGCATCAAAAACCATAAGATAGGACGCCTGGGTGGCTCAAAGGGTTAAAGCCTCTGCCTTCGGCTCAGGTCATGATCCCAGGGTCCTGGGATTGAGCCCCGCGTAGGGCTCTCTGCTCAGCGGGGAGGCTGCTTCCCTTCCCTCTCTCTACCTGCCTCTCTGCCTACTTGTGATCTCTGTCTGTTAAATAAATAAAATCTTTAAAAAAAAAAACAAAAAACATAAGATACCTAGAAATAAACCTAACCAGGCAGGTAAAAGATCTGTGTTCTGAAAACTATAAAAAACTTATGAAAGAAATTGAGAAACACAAAAAGAAATGGGAAAACATTCCATGCTTATGGACTGGAAGAACAAATATTGTTAAAATGTATATGCCATCCAAAGCAATCTATACATTCAACATAATCCCTACGAAAATACCACCAGAATTTTTCAGAGAGCTGGAACAAATAATCCTAAAATCTGTAAAATCTGAAAAGACCCCAAATAGCTACAG